TGGCAGCAGAACGGGTCACATTGCTGTGTCCTTATTTTCCCCGTACCTCCTAAGTTGCAGATTTCAGAAGGGACAACCTGACCCAGATGGCTGTGGCGGAATAATGAGCTAAGAAACCGATCATTGTCCGCTTGGAGCTTTTAATGCGCAACAAGCTGGCGAACATGACTGAAAAGAGGAGCCAAAGTGACGAATCTTCCTTTCCTAACACAGACGGTAAATATACTATAAAGATAGCACTTTAATTCCTATTCAAAGAAGTTTATCTGAAGACAACGGTAGTTGAACTCTAATCTGAACAATTGGTGGAAATGGCTCTCAGATGGTGGCATAAACAGCGCACGACTTGCTATCCGAGCCATATTCGAAGGCGACAGTTAATGGAGGAAAATATGACTACTAGAGGTTTCTGAGACCATAGTATGTTCTACTACCAAACCGTCATACATCGGTGTGTAATTAGTCACCGAAAGATGAACAGTCTATCTACTTAGCTCTGGTATATATACTAGCTTCGAGTCGTAGTGTATGCGTTGTTGCGGACGTCACCAGCATATCACGATCACTTCAGCCCATATCAGTCAAAAGCAGAATTATTGGCAGAATCACTGAAGTCCGCAAAGTGATTCTACGTAGCTACATTTTGTGAGTCGCCAAATGTCTTCCACTTAGTTCTTTCACTCAAGTATTCACTATATATGCTTTGTCCATTACAGATGCCGTTACCACAAGCACTTATTTATAGTGACCGGGGAAACCCAAAATATGAGGTAAGTACATAGTTTGGTTTGAAATTTATCTGCTGAGCGCCAACGTTACTGGGCTACTAAACCTCTTCTCTAGGTGCAAGTTATTCAGGAGAGCATAGATGGTGTGCCAAGCACTTACCTAGTAAATTAACACTACAGCTTTCGCGCGGTTAACAAGAATTTGGTAATAAGGATGTATGTTCCATTGCATTATACTGACAGCACAACATGCACGACTGGGACGCTGCACAACCTGAACTAGCTATTGGGTAAAACTGTCGTAAAATTTCATGCCTGTAGTTTAAGCTTGACATTCTAATCCAATTAAAACGTTATCTTTCATGGTCCACTGTGTGCTAGTGTCCAATTAGTGTCGTGTTCAAGCAAGGAATATTTTCCTTTTTCTACAATAGTGATAATTTCTTGACTATTTTTCTAATTTTGGATGGAATACACGCCGATATAACACTTATTCTATGAATATTTTTGGTTAAAAGCTTGATATTCTTGCTGATCGTCAATACTTTGACTAGCCATTCGTTATTTGGACAATGAGAAATGATTTATCAGGGGTAAAAATGCAAGTGATTGACAAGTCTCATAAGGTGGTTAAAGGGAAAAATAAAAGAATCAAAGGATAAGTGAATCGTTCTTTTAAGCGTCTACCGATTAAAATGCACTGCTGCATAACGATAGTTGAAAATGTGAACTGAATGTGCGCACATAAAGTGGTTTGAGGAGCAGTTCTAACTCACGTACTCAGTGAGAGAGAAAAAGGATGAAGGAAATGTCCGCTTCCTTGGACGGGTGAGATACGTTAGTCTGATGTCCACGGTAGCAGCGTTTGATACATTATATGCAGGAAGTGGAAATGGGTGCTCTGATTGGTAGTGCTAGGTTGATGCCCGAACATAGGGGGGGTTATATGGCACAATGTAGATGTATCAGCGTCTCATCGAGACGCCTTTTGAATACCGTTAGTGTGAGAGAAGAAACAACGTAAGTGTTGAGGAGGTTCCACGATATGGACGGAAATTCCGGTGACAATCTAACCGGTTGTGTCGTGTGGTCAGCATTAGCTGGTGACCTCTCAGCTTCATAGAGTGATTTGGCTTCAAAACGTGATAACAAGCCTGGCTTTGATTGTTCAGGATCACATAAATCGTTATCAAATCGCCACACTGATTTAGCTATTGTCCACTGTTTACTCCAAGGCTCTTCATTCTCAGTTGTTAAGAGAGATGAAACAGACCCCTTTAAGTTCTTGGTCGTCCTTCGTTGTACCATTTCAAATGCAGTCAGATCGTACTTGTGCCATGGCCGCTAGGTGTGGATGTAGTATTCTAAATGCGGCCTAATGTAGGCGTTTAGTATCTAGGTGAATACTGAAGTCTCATAGCATGCTAATGCCCTCCGCAATAGGCCAATGTGTTGCTTTACCTTTTGGAATGATTCTGCGCCCTGAGGTGGACAGCTCAGATCCTCTTGTGATAAGTCGCATTCAGTAGAAGCGCACTAAACATTTGAGAGAAGACTGACAGGTCCATGCGTCCGAATGCGTCCTGCAAAATGCCAAAATTTTGGTTGGGTTTTTTAGACGCTTTCTCGGATTGACGTGAACAACCAAGATAATCTTATACTATAACACCTTAGTCATATTTAGTAGAAGTGCACTGCAAAACTGTATCCTTCAGCCGTACTCGCAAGTGGATTGACCGCGAATGCTCAGTGTCCCACACTTGGTGGCTTTGAGATGAAGCAGTTTCTGAGTCGCCCATTGATATGCCCCATCAAGTTCGTTCTGAAGTGCTAGTTCCACCTTTACGTAGTCAACAGGCGTAGTAAGACTTCGTTTCTAATGGAGAAAACCACGGTTATATGTACATTAGTTTCAAAATGGTTTTTATTTAATCGTTTGTGTCCTGGCAATACTTATAAGTATCATTGTTTAATACCTCTGTATACTACTACTACTGTATAATACTTCTTTAGTGCAAGCGTTAGTCCTGCCAGGACTCGCGAGGATACGTAACATAGCCATCTGTCAACGATTAAGTAGGGGCCAGAACTCCGATACTTTGCACTACAGTGTGTGGAATAAACTGTTGTAGTTCATGTCGAGCTATAAGTAAATGAATTCAGGACTCAAAGAGTTAAGTGTCACATTTCCCAGTATTCCGTTCCTGCACCAACAATTATGCTCCCACCGTGATACGACTTGAGGTCCCGGGTGTTATTTATTCTAACATAAGAAGTGTGCCTCCATGGCTAGGTTTGAACGAACCAAAGGTGGTCTATGCAACGCCGCTGGGTACCCTAACAATGCACCAAAGCTGGGTGCAATGCAGCAGCGGCTTTCCTGCAGTCTAGTAACCAAAACGGTAAATAAATAATCCGAAAGAATCTATCACTGTTTCTAAGTAATAAGCAGAACACCAATCTGTAATGTCCATCTCAGAATAATTAAATTATCTAACCTCATTTTCTTAAGCCAAAAATAGAAATTTTATTACCTGCTACTACACCTAATTTAAGGTTCATTGTAATCCCCTAAAGACTGAGTCTAGTTCGCAGATTGCTACAGAGCGATGCGAGGTTTGTTGCTCAGATGTGGTCTCTTGTTGATTACACCTAAGTGTTTTGGTGTCTGGTTTCTTTACATCTGTCGCGATATATCAGAATAACCCAATCTATGAATCTACTGACAGTTGTAGCTTACCGAGGAATACGCTGACTCTTATGGTATCTGTTTTATCCCGCTCATCATTTGGATTAGAAGAAATCCAATCCGCTTATCATTAAGCCTCGAGATTCATGTGGAATCATGTTATCCCACTTACCAAGTGCAGTACAATTTGTTATGGTACGATTATAAAAAAATATACCAACTATAACCAAAGTTCAATGAAATATCCAATGCAGTCGACAACTAAAGGCTAGATGATGCATGCAAAAGTACCAAAAAACTGAATTACACCATATTCTTCCTGGCCTTCTGAGGCGGTTTCAAATAACGGGAGAGACAATGGGATTCCAAATAATTCATCGAAGGAAGCAAAACATTTTCTCAAAATAATCTGATAAAATTAAAACCTTGATGTGCTCATCGTTAAAGATCCTCCTTTGAACAGTGCTCGAGAGGAGCCATCGAGTTAATTGACTAAAACTTCGACTATTTGTGAACCTGTTTAACTACGCAACTGCGAATACACAACTTTTTCATTCTTAGTGGTTCTGTAGTCTCAAAGCTACCTTTCTTACCTCACCAGGTGACCAACATTTTACGGTGTCCTGTCATCAAATTCGTCGGGTATATGGTATCCTACGTAACATTTCTCACGCTAATCACCGTCGCCACCTTTCGATTGGACCGTAGCGATCTGACTGAGGAGGACGAGGAGAATTGGGAAATTCGGTCAGCCGAAATCTGGAGCTACGATTTTCGGACAAGCAACGTTGTAATGACTAAAATTCAAATTATTCTGTTATTTTGGATGCTAGGTAAGTTTACAGTTTTTATGATGACTGTGCTTTGCTCGAGAAGTTGACAAATTTCCCTAGCAATTCACCCACAAGGTAAAACAGATTCAAATGGTATAGGTAAAAACATTTGCTCTATGGTTAGTTTGCAGTGGGCCAAATTTGACTGTAAAATATTTATCTACTAGTTATTTGTAAGTAGTAGGGAGATTTATTAGGTTTTTGTGTAGATTCTTCGCAGTTAGATGCAGGCAGAAAGCCACCACACATCCAGGAGAGCGCTAGACGGTCGTTTCGTCCTATTGGGACTCGTCAATGGCAAGCACCCGCCAAATCCTGCCGGATTCGAACCCATGACCATACTCTTGCGAGTCAGCGAGTTATGTCACTGAGCCAGGAGCGACGGCAGTCATTGCTCTGGGAGCCAGCCCTGTCCTCTGCACTTTCATAACATGCAAGACAGTGGAGGATGGGCCGCGCCATATCGCAGTTAGCTATCAGTAATGGCGGTCCGCTGCCGTCGCCCATGGCTCAGTGACATAAGTCGCTGACTCGCAAGGGTAAGGTCATGGGTTCGATTCCGACAGGATTCGGTGGGTGCGCGCTACTGACGAGTTCCAGTAGGACGAAACGACCGTCTAGCGCTTTCCTGGATGTGTGGTGACTGTCTGCCTGTATCTAACTGCGACCAGTCTACACAAAAATATCTAATAGTTTATTTACAAGCACTAGAATCCTAGAAATGTTGGCTGCTAAGGTTATATAGAGAAGTGTATTATCGGCTCCTGCTGATCTCCCCTATAAACGTTTTTCTTTGAAAAATTAACTAGTTCCTTAGCCCATTCGTGCTTTTTGGCTTTATCCGGCTTTTATAAACAATTGGATTGCATTGTATGCTACCACTATATTTTACAAAGTTTCTATCATGAGTGCACATAAAAATATATACGAATCAAGTTTGTTTCCTTTACAAAACATATCCGCGTTTGTATCTAAAGGGCTAATTTATATTTTCCAGCAAGGTAAAATAATTCAGATGGCTCTCATGAAGGCATGAAGGACACGAATGAGGTGTTATGCACTCATTACACAGACGCCTATTCTTCGTCCGTTCATTTTTTCCATTGATCTAAAACCAGCCGCGTGAATGCAAGTAATGTCCTTCGAACTGGGTTTTGCTTTCTTAAGTGGAAAACTCCAACTGACCGTAAATCAGTGGTTGCAAAAGTAATGTCCCTGAGCCGATGCTCTAGGTAGACTTCAGGGTTTGTTGGTGCTGTACAACTAGCTTGTGACGTGTTGGTCTCAGCGCTTGTTACGCTCTTTCGTATGTGCGCGTGTGTACTGCTTTCTATTAGCGTAACAGTTATCCTGTGTGGGAACTAAGAAAGAGTGTTATATGCGGCCCCACCCCATAATCAGCATAATCAATTTTCCCGCGCAAACAGTTTTGCTTCGCTCAAATGTATAGTTAACTAATTTCGCAAGTTCACATTTAGCGTTGACCTAGAAATGTTGTAGCTAAAAACCCAACAAAAGGCTGGAGTAGTTAAACGTTTCTTGCTGACCAATCTGGCACGTGCCGTTTTGTGATCATAATCCTCGATAATGTGAAGGATGGTATAGTTCTTCAATCAATTTATTCTCGCAAATTCCTGAACACACACAATGCTTTACTTCCTCCATATATAGCAGCTCCGCAGACTCTTACTGAAATGACGAAAAAAGCAACTGAAGAATTATAAACTAGTGCTCAACGGGAATAATTTGTGATGCTGTGGTACCTAAAAATTACTGTTTTACGCGTGGCAGTAGCTATGGTGAAAGCGAAGATTTTGCCACCTTATTACACCTAATCGCTTATTTGCGTCGACCTTAATCGAGTACTGAGGCGTAAGGGTTCAGCTCTACATTCAAGTGTTCGTTTTTCGTTTCTACAGACGTGCTTTTACAAATGAAACTGCAGTTCAACTTGCTTTCGAGCACCTGATAGCTACATCTATTGCTTTTACCACCATGTAAATGGTGGATATTTTCTCTAAATAAACAATCTCCTTTTGTAAGAACGTAAGCTGCTGTTCCAAAGTCTATGAAGGATTGCAAATTGAAAGAAAAGGAAGGTTAGGATTTGTCGCTTCCTCGCCTACAGTTTGTAACCTGAAATCATTTACGTCGCACGAAAACAGGGTGAGAGATTTCACATCTGGCGATGAATCAATGCTTAAACGGTCTCACTGACGGACAAAAAATAACAAATTGTCAAAATAAACTTATAAGTCGATATTTGCGTCCATTGTTATTGCTTAAGCCGCTCAGGCATATTATATAAGTAAAATAATTGAACTGGTTAAATTATCTTTTCCGCTGTGGTCGGCTTCCATTCATAGGACAAGGAGTTAAAATATTTATACATCGGATCGACTCACCTGTCGCTTCCAAGAAAACGATGAAACGCTAAGCTGCCTGAGTTTAACATGAAGAGATGAGAGTATTTAGCTGTAATAAATTAGGAACTGAAGATCTTAGGACTGATTACGGACATCGGCTGCATGAAAATTCTGTAACTGAAAAAGCTAGATGGGTGCATATGCAAGGAAACGAAAACACCATTTCATACCATATTATGATCTTCTGTGGTATACGCCACACTTGGTGAAGTGTCAGAGGATTGTGCTTGATTAAGGTAAACACTCTAACTTTTCACATGGGCCTAGAAGTAGCCATTCGCGTTTGAAGCATCAGTGCGACAACGGTTGAAAAATTATTATATTATCCATACTAGCGACCATCCTAGTTAAACTTATTCAATTCAGTCATGGTTTTAGGGATACTTTCACCAGTCGTGTGAGTAGATTTTAGTTTGGCCGCCTCCCATGATACCACATCAAGCTATGTAGTTGGCAACGACGTCATACTGATACCATCTCTGAAAGCGGCATAATAATTTATTTCTTCCTCTAACTCTTCCAAACTATTTGTTGACTTTAACACCATGTACATTTTTTGGTGCTAAATACTATGAGTAGTGGAGACCGAGATAAAAAGTTCGCTTACAACTGCTTGAAGACGAGTGCATTGGAGCGGGTTTGATCACAGCCTTAATAACATAATTTGCCGGAAACTACAAACGTTTCACCGGGTAAGATGTCCATTTTGAACCTGGAACTTACTGATATATGACAGGCGATTTAGCCACTGCGTTCCCACAGGTAAATGAACTACGCTTGCCACAACGAACAGAGTCTCATGGCTGTCTTAGCTTAGAGTATCCATTGTGCAGCTGAATTGCTACGCACCACCCCAAGATGCAGTGTCATCTGCACCCTGCTATACTTCGTTTTGTTTAGTTATTTTCTTCGCAGCAAGAGCAGTCATGGTGCACATGGCGGGTGATACCAACCTTGACAATTAACTTTGCAACGTCAAGAATAGCTCTGCTTTGGAAATTCGATTTCGATATTTTCGAAAATTTGTTGCTATTTTCTTACTGATTTGCGCAACATCATGTAAGAGATCTTTTAGTAAACGCTTTCAATACCGCTTAAGATTCGCTGAGTAACGTGAAAACGAACGTAACATGGAGGCCGTACGTTACACAACAAGGTAATCGTACACAGCTAGACCAGTGATGAGTTAAGCCTACGTGATGACTGGTAAGAAATTAAACTCTACCGTTTGGAGTAAGTCTTAGAGTCCTGAGATCTAAATCATAACCTAAAAACGCCGTTCTAAATGGAGCAAATTAAAGAATTTACCAACATTTCATTTGCTGTTTGAAGTTAGCAAATTTGCTATGACCTTGCATTGACCAAAGAAACTTAGTAAAATAATATTATAATTCGGATCTTACATAGGCGCTAGCAAATGACAGGCTTTTGGTTTATTTCTACGGCACCCCAGTCACTGATTTGTACCTAAAATAAGCCGTTACGAAATTTACCAAGTCTATGGCGCAGCAACTAATTTGGAATAAACACTAATGTAATTGCGTCCTACGTACTTCCAATTGCTTTTCTACGGCCGTTTTAATCTTTAATAACTAGAATACTACATACCCTTTATAGCATGCAGTACTACTTCTAGGTCCTAAACCTTACGTTAATACAAAATTAATATTATTCAGTGCTGGACACGCTGTAAAACATATAACAAATAATACATATCAGGTGACCATATCAGAGGTGACTTCTGCAAAGTACCTGAAAGTTTAAAACCTAACCGATGAGTTCCGTTTTAGCGAGACATATGGCTTTGTACATTAAATCCTTTCAGGATCACGTTTCATGTAGCGCAATACACATACTGCACTGATGCCTTTGAAATGCGCGCCGTACTCCTTACCTCTAAGCCACTAGGATCACTGTCGTGCTATCACTACCTGGTGAAAACAAACATGTTTGAAACTGGTATTGGAGTGAAGTGTTTTGGGGGGGGCAACACCCAAGATCCAACTGTTTTATCAGTTACGGTCCGAATGGTCGAATTGATCAAGATTCTCGTAATGTGAAAGGTGGTCCGCATTGAGCTTGCATATCAAAACGCAATCACACCTCGTGTGCTTCAGAATAACTCCTCCAAATTCGATAATAGTTTGATCTTCTATCGTAATCTGAGCACAGCTTTTCATAGTCTAAAGTCACTGTTCATAAGCCCAATGTCTCAGCAACTTTCAAACGAAGCAATTTATGCAGCAACACAACTTTTTTCTTTATTTATCTTCTTCTTTATCTTTCTTCTTTTCTTTATCCCCTTTATCTTCTTCTTTATCTTTATCTTTATCTTGACCACAACTGATCACCGATGCTATTTAGTGGCCATCTATACGGGCACAAGGACGGTCTATTTTCAGGACATTGTCAAAGAATAACGGAACTTGATTCTCATAATGTAAAAGCTAACTTGCCAGCCTCGCATGTCTACTGAGGTCGCCATTTGTGCTCATAGGAAATAGTACCGCTAAAATACCCCTACTCGTTGTGCCAAACTTTGCAGGTGCGGATTCGTGGTTCAATGTTGAATATGTTTCCATTAACCTCTAAGCGCTTCTTACTTATTTGGCTCAGTAGCCTGACACAAAGGCAGTGCACAGTAAGTATAGCGCCGTAGTGCTGTTTCCGAGAGCCATTAAGATCTATTTGGGGTCTATCCTAAACAGCCTTTGCGGAGTTAGAACAATGTACATGTGATTCTCGACTATAGTATGACACGCACCTGCGATCAAGATAAGCGGCAATTGGGAGTTGGCGGGTTTGCACCGATTTGACCAGGGGCTGCTTGACTGGAAGTGCGCGGTAGCGAACTGTTGTGCGCTGCGCGGTGCTATTCCATCGTCAAAGAATATGTGTGACACTTTGCTCTACTCTAATCCAACTGTGAGCTTATAAGCCGTATTCCTGTTGTCTCCCATGGCTAGCTTTTAAGGGAACAGGGCTATCGACATCGCCATAACCTCCGAGGCGAAATGTGAGACGGAGTTATTCTGACTCCTAACCATTGACATGTCGGGTATGTAGGGACCTGGAAACTGCTACACAGTAAAGCTCAATGGGTCACGTAGGTAAGCAAACCATTACATCGTGTTGATGTCTAGTTTCGTCATATTTGGCAATCCACATGCACAAAACTGGTGCTCCGAAGTTCCACCGAACCTTTGCATACAATTCACGATCCATGGCATCAGTTACCGTTACCCACACTTAATCTGCCACTTTCACCTTGGGAGTGGTATGGGCGGACCTAACAACAGTTCGATGTGTCACCATTCCGTCAATTTCCCGAGCGAACAGGGCATAACGAGTGCTAAATATTGATCAGATTATAATGCGTTGGATGAAGTGTTACACAACTTGTCATGGTTAAGATACAGCAAAAGACGGAAAACTACCGTAATTTTTTTTCTCTTGATGGGGCATATCGGCCTCGTGTGAGTCTCCGTCGACTAAAAGATCGAAGGTGGTAAGCCAACGTGGCAAACAGTGAATTACGACTCCTTGCTAATGTGGGCACTGGTAATTAGCATGAACAAGTGACAGATTGGGATATAACGTCATCAACGTTGCCAAGCATTTCACGTTGATCTCGAGCTTCGAAAGCATTCGTATTACTAATTGGTGCAGAACCGATCGACCACTACCTCTCTGAATTTTCTAATATCGACATCCGTCAGATTCTGGTGTAGGAGAATTTCATTTAAATCATTCATATTACTTTAATACCACATTGTAAAGACAGAACATACCGCAACACATTCTCCATGAATGTAACTTATAGGATCAATCACCAATGTCCAGAGAAATATGGTGTCCTTGGAAAAAGCGAAGGTTTTTCAAAAACCAACTTCTGTTTTACCACCATATACTTTCTAAATCAGAGTATCCGTTAAGTGCCGTCGGCTGCAGAGTAATAGAGAATGTCAAAAGTAGACAAAAGTGTGAGAGCGCATTTAAGTTTCTATCGTTACGTGGACCGAAATTCGTCAGAATATATGTCGTGAAAGAAGTCGGTCTTGCAGCTTGATCTACATATTTGCTCGACGTTGGATCAACTGGAATGTGAAAGTGAAGCCCACAAATTAATGCTCCGGGATGTGACTATCTATCCCTCTCAAAGTTGGACGGAACCTAGGATGGACGATATTCAACCTTATTCGCCCGTTTGGATGCATATACATGGGCACAAGGCTCTCCGAACAACACTATTCCGAGTATATTACCTATAGCTGCATAAGAGTGATGTGTTGCCGACGGTGCAAAATTACCTAATAAACAATTTGGAATTAGTTGTGTAATAGAGGAATTTGTTTTGTTTTCTGTGTTAATTCGTTGCTGCGAAACAGCCAGACAACCACCACACACTCAGGTGAGTGTTAGTCTACCGATTCGTCCCATTGAGACTCGTCAGGAGCGAGTTCACATCGATGACTCAGCTGCATAAGCCACTGGCTCCTAAGCGTACGGTCATGGGTTCGGATCCGGCAGAATTCGGTGGCTCCGCGCTGCTGAAGAGTACTAATAAGATGAAACGGCCGTCTAAAGCTTTCCTGCATGTATGTCTATCTAAATCTAGTCGCGATGAACATTCTTAAGTGTTTGCGCTTCATCTCTAAGCGTTCTCTTGGCTCACTGATATCGCTCCGATGGTAATGAATCGTACTAGTTGAAAACCTACAGTCTCACTACCCAGAACATCAGTAACCAAACCGACAACCGTTGAATAAGATCCCGATTAAACGAGCCATTGTACATCTTCCATACAACAATACACAAACATCTGTATAACTGTTGTAGACAATGGAACAATGGAACAATGGTTTATTACGGGTGAAAAAGCATCGTTTAACAAGTCCCGTGGGCTTTTTTCTGGGGCAATTCGGGTCACAGTGTATTAGGGAAACGCAGACGGTTGGTCGATGACGTATTTCTCTCAAGGTGAAGCCGGTTCCCATCGCAAGGGAGAGTGAAAAAACGAAAAGATGTTGCAAGAAGGAAGATGGTAAGAACAATCACCGGTTGGTTGTGTGTGTGTGAGGTGCCGATCGGTGGACAGCACAAACGTATGGTAACAACGGTAAAAAAGCACTTGAAAGTACGAATGTAGGAAAGAAGAAGGGACAAGCGGTGGAAGACACTGGGGGCAATGTCAGCTGTATGCAGATGCATGGGTGAAACAATCAAGCGGATAATGACAGGGCAATATTGTTCATGGAGAACAGGAAAACAACACTGGCATTGGTTCGTGAGCGTGAAAACAAACCCCACTCGCTCCAAGGATAATAAAAGAGTTGGAGAGAGTGTGGGGTAAAGAAGATTAAATACGCGCGTCATTAAAACCAGCTTGAATGAACCGCGTGTCGTACTCCAGACATTCAGTGAGCCGTGGCTGAGACAAAACGCAGCAAGTGTGAAGCTACCGATGAGAATGAGTCACCGGAAACCGGGGAGGTCGAATACTAATGAGCACAACGATAAACCGGAATAAATGGAGTCCAATGCAATGAAGTTACTCCAAATGGTTGTAAGCTTCCTCGCCCAATTCGAAGTATTTCGCTGCAAGTCGACCCTCGCGCGCAGTAGACGCAAGCTCACCGGCTTGGTTGTATAATTCACCGACCAAGTTGTAGTCCTGCTTCAGCCCGAATTCACCAATCGTGTACATATCTGCCATGCGAGCCAGTATCTTGTATACAGGCAGTAAGTCCTCTGCGGCATCGAGGCGTCCCTCGGCGTCCAAACCTTCATAAGTTACTCCATCGCGTGGAGAGAACGGGTTTGCGCTATCCACCGCCTTTTGGTACCAAGTGATGGCCTCGGACAAGGCATCTCACGAGATGGAGGGGCGAGCTTCCGGGCGCACAGGTTGCAATGCAGGCAGGAGGAGAACGCTGTCAGGCCAATTGTACTTGCTCAGCTTTGGTTTCGGCAAATATAAACTAGCCGATAAGTCCAAGTAATGAACGAGAAGAATCATGCAACGACGACCGTCACCCTCTGCGGCGCGCCAGAGGTAATCAACGCCAAATATCAGGTCATTTTGGTCGGGTTTGATCGGACAATCAAGCAGGAGCTGAGTGGGAAGACCCAGATAGTAGTGGATCATTACAATCAAAGCCTCCAGACAGCCCAACTGCGCTGCGTGACGCTCGTGGAACAGGACCGCTGTCCAGTAGATCGAGGCATCGGTGTAATAGGTCGGCGACACGCACTGTTTATCTGCGTTGGGCCTGTCCGCATCTAATTCCGTATCGGCGCCATGGTTTCGTAATAGTAATCCTCCGAGTCCAGCACGCGACCAACTACATTTGCTGCCAAGTAAAAAGCGTCCCGCTTCGTGCAGGCGTGCTAGTTCGTGATGAATTTGCCCCAAAATTGATTGTCCGATCTCTTGATCCAGGTTCGTAGGGTGATCTGCACAACTTGGCTTATGGCTCTCATGCATGAGCTGATGAAGAAGGTTGTTGGCCATGCGACGATCTTCCTCTACGTCTAGGTCGCTTGATTCACTTGGATTCCGGTGACGCCGTAGATGCAGACCACCGTTCATCAGTCGACCACAAGGCCCATGATATATACCGTGATTCCAATTGGTAGAGAAATGTGGATGACTTGTGATGTAGTCCTCTCGACCATTGCTGTGTGCCGAGACGCCACACGGTGAATCTAAGGTTCCACGAAGGGAATTCAAAGCACAAGGTGACATCAGAGGATCAAGCAACGATGGTGTGGATCCGGAAACCATATGCATTGCCGCATCGGGCAGATAATGTGGAAAGAAGAGGTCATTGGACTTTGGCACACCCAATTCCACATCGCTGAAACCGTAAGAACCGCAAAAGTTGATTCGACACGAGTATCCGGAATCTCCAGAAGCCACACGATTCCGAGGCTGTTGTGTTCGGCCGACGGCATCAGCACTCAACAACGGTTTCGGTGAGTACTCGCAGTTGCACGCCCCAGCAGTTCCGTGAACATCAACCAGTGCAGACGGGACCCGCGCGTGTGGAACATCAGTGTCCAGCTTCGATGGGGTGAGTGACGGTGTTTCGCTTCCGAGGGAGTGGGCCGGTGATCCTCTGTCAAACAACAAATCGGCCGGGTTGAGATGAAGCCAAGTGGAAGACGTGGAACAGCTGTCGCATCGACGTCTGAGGTCGACGGTGATGGGGAGCTGGATGTGTTCCGTAGACCGCGCAATTGTTGGACCAAACTGATTGAAACTAACTGAACGGCGTCGGGAACCTGGGTTAACAGCACGTCTTTGGGCTCTGATGGCCTTTACCACATCCGGGGATAATTTCAACTGAGGGTGTTGTTTAACCTCTGACGCTTCAACGTAAGGGAGATCACTACCCTTCACCTCATCAGAAGATTCCTCCTTTGGTGAATGAGGTGCATCCCCCTCGACTTGCTTGTGTGAATGCAGCATCTGCGCTACCAATTCAGTGTGAGACAAATCGAATTTGGTTAAGTCCAAATATTCACACAAAGGGTTACCTCAATGACTGTGAAAGAAGAGGGCCATTCCATGGGGCCGAGATTACCATCACTGTAGCCAAAGCCGTCGGATGTGTGAATCTGTGGATCGGTATACAGGCCACCCATGCCTTGAATATGCACGACAAGAAGACGATAGCCAGATCGCTCGAAAGTGAAATGGCTGAATGCCTGATGAGTATTTCGCAGCTGTTCATCAAGGAAACCGGAATTCGCGTTATGCTTCCGATACTCTCCCTCCATAAACCGCTCTATTTGGAAAATTCGAGTGAGATTTGCATCCGTGCCTTCAGAGAGTTTTATTTCTATGACAGATAACTGGAAAATATCCACTTTTTTGGGGGTGCTTGTCTTGTAAATGCTTCAGCCCAAAGCTTGGCTTCCATTTTGGAGGCGGACATCATCAAAGTAAACCTGTCTATCCACGTTGGAAATGTAGCATTTGACTACGTAATTGGATGCATAGTGCCAATCGTTCGCATGTGGGCCAGTCTGAGGCAGTTTCTTTAAACGAAAGCATTCACGCATTGCGCCACGATCAAAAGGGTTGGATTCCATCTTGACGTGTATTTCGTCGATCGCCCACTTCTTTTTGATAGCAATATACCGGTGTCAAACAGCGGTTTCTACGGGGATATCATGTGTGGGAAAGTCTAACCAAGGATCCAAATCGATCGAATGCAACTTCTGCAACGCACGTTTCCACAGCTTTACTGTATTAACCGGCTTACATTGCTCAGGAGTGTCTGGAGGGTTCTTGCTCAATCTGGTCCGCTTGAGATTTGAGTCCTCAATATTCGCATAATCCGATGAATCGTCCATCGGCTAAGGCGTGCACACCTGTATTCTTTTGATCGGATAGCGCTGGACATCAGCTAAGTGCACCTTTCCACAAACTCTATCGAACTAGCCCCGAACTGATGGGAGCCCAGGTAACAACCGACACAGCAAAAAACAGCAGACAAAAGCAGGGAAAATGGAAGAGATAAAGTGAAACGAGGTCACGAATAAGACAAGATGTTTGGTTAAGCCCTGAACAGTTAAACTATGAAATAAATTCTCTGAGTAGAAGGGAAGCAATAGACAGTTAAGTCCTGCAAGTTGAGTTTCAGCATACCGCATTAAACTAGTAAATCTAAATCAATCTCACATGGAAGGTATATATTTTTAAGGTTTATATGAATGAAATCACTAGATTTACTCAGTAAAATCCGTTCCTCCGGTTTATAAGCTATCCGAATGGAGCTGAGTAGTATATGATACCATCCATGCAAACTGTAATTCATACCTATGATCTTCGATAACGGAAACGGAAAACAGAAGGAGGTCTGAATAGGGATTCGAATTCTTCTTATCTACCTAAAACAAAGCAGTGACTTTGCTTCTACTTAACACCGCAGATATAGTTAATCAAATTCGGTCACGAACTGGTAACCAACAAGTTTGCATTGGCCGATTCAAGTAAACCGAAAGTTTTTACAAGATCTCGGTTGTTCTTAAGCAAATCCATAGTCAAATGAGACACAATTTTTCCTAACAACAAAATTTAACCACCCTTAAACACACTTCAGTTTTTTCAGGGTCATTTGTTGGGAGTGTATCAAATTAACGTATGATAACTTGCCCTCCAATTTTACAAAATGTTGATCAGTCAGGTGAAACCTGGAGATTCATGGGTGAATTAGATAGCATGTGCTACATACATATCTGCATCGCTTGTTAGGGGCAAAATAAAGAGAGCTCATTTCCCTCTAGTCCTGATGAGAAGGTACACACCTTTTAACAGAGGGCAAACGTAAACGGACTGAAATGTTTTGCGTGAACTATAACTGCGCGGCGTTAGATTGTCAGTGCTGAATTGTTTTGTTAGCGGCATTCCTATAATCAGCAGGATTACATCAGCCATCTGGAGTTATGCTTCGCTGCTGCCCAACCACGAGGATCTAATGAACGAAGAATAATAACGGAGAGAAGAGGGACGTAGCATAAAACCTTAGCGCTATAAGCAAACATTCGGTGTCAAGACGCATACACTTTGTTAACAACACCATGTCGAGAACATGATGTCATAAACAGCTGGCCATCGTGCAAAGACGTTGGCATCAGCGATATAGCTTCCTTGCAAATTTCACTGTAGCCTTCATTAACACCCGTTATCCCGCAGATAAGTCAGCACCAAATAAACTTTAAACAAACAGTCCAACTAACAGACAACGGCAGAGGCATAAGTATACCAATTTACACGCCTGTTAGCGCATTGTACCAAGCTTTTCGAAATCGCGTGCAGTGCTTTCAAGTTAGCAAGGCTAAGAACGCTGTTTTGGTGTCGTTGACACGCTCATTGGTCATGGGACATTGGCCAATGGGACACCGGTTGGAAGCCCAGAGCATAGGCGACAGACAGTCCAATGAAAGTGGTCGAGCACCCCCCCTTCAGTTCTGTCTTGATGCTCATCCGAAGTAAACCTCGATGATTGGTCTCCAAAATGAAACCGTCTAATAGGCAACTTGTGATACCTGTCTAAGGAGGAGATCCTAGCTACCACATGATCCGAAGCTTAAGCCGTAACCAGTGCGGACAGACATACTAACCAGTACATGAAGCGGTCTATACTTAGTGATCGCTAGCCGCTACCTGCTGGTGGCTTATTCAGCGGCCTAACCATGGTGGCGTAGACAGGCAATCTTCTAACCGTTATACCGCAGTCCCTAAGGTCTGAGGGAGTCAGGCTGGCCTGCATTTGCGGTTGGTCAGACATGCGCCGTGGCTAAGACACTGCACACCCAAACCTGAATCAGCAATGGCTGCTAGGCGGTTATACAATTTTGTGCGATTGTTATTGCAAAGATCATGGGGGATATTGTTCCCATTGAAGTTGATGGACCAACCTGAAGCTGAACAACGAAAGTTCTATATTTGCTTACTTCTATCACATTAGATGGCTAAACACAAACTAAGAGGATGCCAAGTGTGGTGTTGACATGTTAATGAGTGTTCGCTTGTCTCCACACCCATGGGCGACTTTGTTAATCAGTTAGTGCTTCAGTGTCTCCATGTATGGCGTTATTTAAACGTCATAGGAACCTATGTATTCATAGGATAATTAGGCTATACTACCATATGGTGGCCCATAGGTGTTGAGACGCTTTGACAAGTGGCACTATGCGGAAAGTCTTAACTTTTGAGGCTAACTACCGTCCTCTGCAAGTTAGTAACCGGCCTAACTTTATAAGATCAGCCAGGCTATATCACAGTCAAATGATAATCATTCAGGTCCGCGGCCGTCACTCACGACGAAGTGACCCTAGCTGTTGGTATCCGAAAGTCATGAGGGCGGAGCCAGGCAGGGGTCCTCTGAAGGGCGCATCACTGATGAGACCATAAGGTCTACACACCGGGAGCTGGTGCATTTCCAGACTAGCCTAAGCCTGCTGACTGACAGTGGACCGTGACGAACTATCTTTAATGATCTGAGTTACTGAATGGGGCATCCTTTTGTGCGAAAAACAGCTAGGCGTGATCTGTGAAGACTAAATCTAATTGCGCTTCAAGCTTGATCGGAAAGACTACAATGTTAGTCAAAGCAAATGTCCAGATGAATGAAGTATCAATTTTATTGAAGTCCCTGGAGATGACAAAGACTGAGGGGTCCAGTTTAGGTAGTAACACTGAGGATAAATCACCCTCGAAAAATTTTAACCCTGATGCTGGTGTGTCGGAGAATATGTATACATTCCCAATAATAACAGAAATAAAACCACTGACCGACATAGTATTACATTCAATAAAAGAGCGGCTGATTGTGACTACCGAATAGGTAAGCATTTTGAATGACTAGCTACACCAGCGTTGATGGATGTAACTGATGACTCCCCTCTACGATTTTGGGGCATTCCGGAGTGGTCGGATTTGACGGAAAAATAACCAGCATGTTGAATAACATTGTCTTGTACACCAGAATGTTACCAGCTTTCTTGAAGCATCAAAATGACTGCATTTGAATATGCAGTTTGCTGTATAAATGCGCTAAGATGCGCCGGTTTTCCAAGGAGTGATTGCATATTGTTAGATAGGACCAGTAGAATTTATATCATGTCTACTGAACGACGTCTAAGGTTTACTTGTTAGTCCGCACGGTGTTTACTTGCTTTACAAGAATGCTTCCGCCTACCTCGTTTAAAACATGCAAACATTGGAAACATATGAATAATACAGGGATGGGGAGCAGTGTCTTAGAGAGATTTCAAAATGTTGACAAAGTAGGAAAACATCGAAGTTAACAAATCGTGCAGATAAACCAAATGGTAAAAGTGTTTTGTGGATTCTAGAAGTCTGCAGTGGCTAGAATAAAAAGAAGTTCTTATTGATAAAAGTAACCGACAATTTGAAGGCCACGCCATCTAGAGGAAACCCTATTTTGGCGTCTCAGATGTCCCAGATACAAGAACGCAATTCTGGCTTTTGTAATACGTGGACTGATTTTAGTGGTTATGCAGCTGCCAATGTAGGTGAAATGATCGTCAACATCGGGTTTCTGGCTATTAACAACCAAAGGCATACCAGCTGGCCGGCGGTGTTGTAACCGCACTTTGCACTTTGAAGGTGCGATGCGCATACAAATATATGGACAACGACAGAAAGATAATTCAGAGTTGACTGGGCTGTCCCCATTATCATAACGAAACTGGCGTCTGCATCCGCAAGTTAAACTAGGCTTTTATCAGGCAAGATCTCAACGACTGCATCGTGTGGCTCCGCAAGAGAACATTCCATCGTGCAGTCCACAAAGTTGAGCACAAATTGAAAAGTTGCGCAGCCCTGACGAACGCCACTTGTTGTCGGAAATATATCCGACAGGTCATCGTAGACTAGGTTGCCACCTGTGGTGTTCAAGTAGAGGGCACATATTTCATCGAAATACCTTTCCGCACAAGTATCCCGAGCAGAATGCATCAATCGACTGGATCGAGAGCATTCTTAAAGTGCAGGAGTACAACTATTGCCAGTCTGCCATACGTGTGGTGTTGCTCTAGCACCCGTAGCACAGTGAATATTTACAGCCCTGCCTTGGATTGAAACCTGTCTGATCATCCCACAATAGGGCAGTCAGGGGACGAACGGCAATTGACGCTTGTAATGTTATCAGCACAGACATTAGGCGAATACCTCTGTGCTTAGCACAGTCTTGTATTATGACTCTATACCTATTCACTCCAGTTAGTTGTAAAGACCTCTTCCATCCAAACGTCTTCGAACAGGGAGGTCAGTTCATTGCAGATGGCCTCACTACCATTCTTAAATAGTGTGAGTGCGAGGGAACCCGGGCAGACTGATCGAAAACGATAAAGTGCTGCGATCGCGTTTTGGACCTCAGCCTCCGACGGAGGCATTAAACCAGGGATCAACTTCAAGTAGTTTTCAACCAGAAGTAACCGCGCCTCAAATACATTACATTTGCTACCGTACCGCGGGCCAAATGCGGCCCGCGTTAACATTTCAACTTGCACTCGTCCTCATGGTGGAATAATAGATTCAAGCTCGGACTACTTTCTTACATCCGTCATTTTTGTTATTATCTTAAGGTCAGACTGAATATGGCCTGACATATTTTTACCTCACAAAATGTAGCCTACCTTGCGAAAGGTTTGCACATCCCTGCTTTAAACCAACTTGTCAAGTCTCAGCGTTCACCACTTGAAAATTGGAGGTCCAGGAGTAGAGGACCAACTGGTTTGCATTCAAAAGTGCTCCACCCAGCGTATTATATGACTTTCCGTACTGTGAATCAGGACACCTGTGCTGTCTCTGATTGTCACTAACGCCTGGTTTTCTGCGCACAGTGGTACGGACCAGTTGGAACTGCTTGCAGTAATTGCCTGCTGTCCTTGCTTTATCCATTCCCTCAGCCTTACAAGTCCACCAGGCTTAGTTGTCAGCGCACAGGCTCCGCCTTAGTACGCGCCTAATAGTCCCCTCGTTACA